TTTTTTTTTCTTTTTTCTTTCCCTGGGTTAATATTCCCCAAGGTTAACTCAGCTCGCTAACAAAGGTCAGAGGAACAGGAGAGCTGGAGCGGCGGCGCTGGGGAGGGGGTCATTGCCTCCTCTTGGCACCAGAAGCTGCCTGGTCTGTTCAGCTTGTCTTCCCTGCTTTAGGACTGAGCCCGTGGCCCTGATATCTCACCCGAAATAGCCCCGTGAGCGTGTAATTGTGTTTTAAATCGCGCAGAGCTGGCTTCGGCTGAGCGGGATGCGGAGCGTTCGTTTTATTAACGGGTTATAAACAATCTCTAAAGGAGAGAGCAGGGCAGGGTTTGGTTTTTCCGAGTGGCTGCGCGTTTTGGGAGGAGCAGGCAGGGTCTGCTGGAGAGGGATGTGATTTTGCCGGGTAGCCCAGGGGTGTCTGCCCAGAATTCRGGGTGTGGAGAGCTTCACCGTGACCCAGCCTAACGCTGTGCGTCTCAGCAACTGCTCCAAACACCTGTATCACACTCAAATATTAACAATATTATTAATTATAAAAACAATATTATTAATATTATTAATATAAAAAGCTATTAATAAGTTAAATGCTTAGCAAATCACTTCTTCATATTTGTGCAGCAAAGCAATGTTTGGATGTTTTCTTTTGGTTCTTTTGGTTTCATGCAAGAGAACCTTTGCACAGACTGGTGCTCAGCATCTGAATAAATAAACGGCTGAATAAACKGATGAATAAACGGCTCTTTTTAGGTGCCTGGCATAACTCACATTGCACATCTTACCACGGATACCTTTGGCTTCCTATGGCACCTCCTCAGCCCTGTCCTATCAGGGAGCTCCGCCCACCCATTTARAGAATCACAGAATATCCTGAGCTRGAAGGGAYCCACAAMGATCACTGAGTCCAACCCCTGGGTCTCCACAGGACATCCCAAAAATCCCACCYTGTCCCTGAGAGCCTTCCCCAAACCTTCCTGGAGCTCTGGCAGCCCTGGGGCCGTGACTACTCCCTGGCGAGCCYGTTCAGTGCCCAACCACCCTCTGGGTGAAAAACCTTTCCCTGATATCCACCCTAAACCTCCAGCCTCAGCTTCCTGAAGTTCCACCGGTCACGAGAGTGAAGAGATCGGTACCTGCCTCTCGTAGCTGCCCCTGGCTTTCCCAAGACCACAATGAGGTCATTTGTCACAATTCCCTTTGTTTCTGCAGGCACTTTGTCAACACAGCTCATTTCCCAYTCGGTTAATGCCCAACTTGCCATATGCTCCCTTGCACTTCTGATTTTTGCCTGYGTTTAATCAAAACCCCGGGGCAGTGGGAGATAAAGCCTCCCTAAAGCCAAACATCCGAGCACCTACTCCAAACACCTCAGGGTGAGCTTGCCCTTGACACTTTGGGATTACAGCACAAGACTTCCTTTTACCATTCCAACTGGAGCCATCTCCAGGGAATTTTGAGTGTTAAAGCCCACAAGTGGGGGGAAAAAACCACCAATATTCAAATGATGGTGTGCTCTATGCATTTTTTCTTCCCTTGGTACCACGCAAGATCTTTGTGGTTGACAGAAATTGCAGTTACCCACTCACCCATAAAACTACAYCAAACCTGGGAACATAATTAGTCATTTAATAACCAAGCTCAAACTCAATGTATGTTGACTTTGGAAGCACATTTGCATCTGGCTGGTATTACCATGAGTACACACACATAAATTTACCTGCTGCAGGTAGAGTTGAAAATCAAGATAAATGGGGCAGACATCTTCAAATAAAATCYTTTTTTTTATTATTATTATTCCAGCTGTTGAATGAAGCAGAAGGTGGTCCTTTGTTCAGGTATTAACTGAAAAAACATAACTGCTTAAACCAATTACCCTGTTATCTGGGAAACAGGAGAGGGTCTCATGGGCGTGCAGATTAGAAAGGTGTGTCCTTGTGAACATTCTCACTTCTTTTCCAGGCTTTCAGAAAATATTTTAAGAGTTTGAACCCCACAGAGATTGAAACCCTAAAAACTGCCCACACTCTTCTTGGTTCTCCATTTCAATTTTTKCCTTCTTTCCTTCCAATTTAGTTTTCTACTATAGAGGCAACACCTCAGAATTATTAAATTCTTTGCTGTCTCTCAGAGGGAAGACAGGAATAATAAGTGACCTTCACTTTAGGTGCATGTTGTTTCAGTGGATTTCTTCTCTGTTACTGTATAACAAGAGAAAATAAAAATTCAAATACTTGYTCTTTGTTGGATTTTTCTGGGTGTATCATGTAAATACAGCTGCATTTTCCCTTATCAGAAGAGAATTTGACCTACAAATTTGACCTGTTATCCACATTAAAATAATTCTACCCTTATGGCATAGAAATTAAATGGCAACTTTCATTTATTGTATGATATTTTCCTGATACTTGGGACATTTTTTTTTCCTCAGAGCTGATAGTTTAGCTTTGTCTCACACTTGTAGCACAAAGCAGCCACAAATCCAAACTGCTCAGCCAATTAAACCAGGTTTTTAGTTACTCATATGCCAGCCTGGTCTGAAGCAACTAAAATGCATCAGTAAATCTGAGTTTCAGTGCAGAATGATGTCACCGTTCTCATAAAAAGAAACAACACAAATCAATTTTAACTTAACATTTCAAAAATGTTTTGTTTCATATGAAGTTGCAAAAGAAAAATTACTCACTTCTTAGTGATTGGCTTTAAACAACCACTGAAAGAACTGTRTTTCAATATCAATTAGAATCAAATATATTTAGTCTTCCTGATGCACACAGAAAAATACTGATTGGTAAAATAAAAACAAACAAACCACAATAAATCTTAAAATAGACTTTTTTTCTGAATTA